CTCCCCGTGGAGATTCGAACCCTCACCACCCTCCAGGCCTTCCGCAAAGCCATTAAAACCTGGCTGTTCCCACAGAGCTGTTGCCCCCGTCTGGAATGGTATGACTGTTGTGTGTTTTTAAATTATGTATTGTTATGTATCGTTTATTTTTTATTTTTTTGTCTGTACCCCCCCCCCCCCCGCTTTCCCTGATTTGATTTGTTAGCCGCCCTGAGTCCCCTTCGGGGGAAAAGGGCAGCATATAAATATAAGAAATGAAATGAAATGAAATGAAATATTCCTTTATATGTTTTTAGGAAAGCAAAGAAATATAAGGTTTATTAAGACATTAGCAAATTACCTGCAGAAATCCTAGTCAGAGTCTGAATAACCATCCACTTGTGCTCAAAAGAGCTACTGGAAGTTTCTAAAATGTTCAGGAAGATCTCTTTGAAAAACACCTGTTCAACACATATGTAAAAAGCAGCAAAAATATTTGTAGTATAAGCGTAATTCCAACTACATATATATTGTTCTTTCTTGGTGAAACTCATTCAATTTTTTTTAAAAAATGCTGAAATTATACATTTTGAAACATATTACATCCATCCGAGAGATAAACCATATACAGAACCAGTGATGTTTAGTACAAAGTTAACCAAAAGAGAATATAAATCCCTTAATATAAAGAAAAAATCCAAAACATTCTTACCTCAATTTGCATTTTTAAGTGAATCTTAAAATTTGAAAGAAGGGTAAGGAAGATTGCAAGAGAAAGCTCAAACACATCAGGAACAGAAGACACTCCGTTTTTAGACAATGCTACACAAAGGTATTGCTTGATTGCATTTATAAACATTTCGTGTGTCCTGAAGACTGGACCAGCATTTTGCAAAACCGAAAGCAGCAGCTGAAGTGATACTATTTTAGAGCGCAATTCGTGAGATCTTAAATACAAAAAAAGAAAGAAAAGAGCATTTTCTTCTTTGCTAAGATACTTGTGGAATGTTACTCTGAAATAAGACTCTGAAATCTCAAAATCTTTGATCATGTCCCACTTTTGTGAATAATTAAAATGGATAGATTCTAATTCACTTCATTATAGATATCAAGAGAAATAATATCCAACTTTTCTTTTATGACATGCCATTGAGAATAGCACTGCAGTATTGGACGATTATTTTATTAAAGGCACTAAAACTTACAAGACTCGACTTTAGTCTTAACTAAACTAAGAAATAAAGCAAATTATTTTGGAAAAATAATCTCACATGTCTTTTCATGTATTCTGCTACTTCTAGTATTGTCTTTTCTTCTTTGCACACACATACATCTTCTATTCTTGCAGCAATATCAATAACTCAATAACTAATCTACATATTATTGCCTTTTCTGACACTTGAGAATAAAACATGTAAGTTGATAGGTCCAAAAGCATCTGTTTGGCCCACTGGTATTTGCAAGAACCTAAACTTGGTACTTGGATAGTCTTGGATCACTTAAGAAAAGCAAGGTGTTCAAGTTTTATATCTGTAGCTGATTATACAGTATATACAATCTTAGTACTACATGTCATTGGGAAAACAGCAGATTCAGTCAGAAAGTAAATTAAATTATTAAAAGAATGTTTCTTCTTTTTATTAAAATACTTTAGAGTTTCTACATAAGCAGTTATGAATAGGTAAAATCAAATTGTAAGTGATTAATTTTGTTCTCTGATAACTGTATTAGCATATGGAGAGAATACAAATCAAAAATTTTATTTTAGTTTTTACTTGGGATCTGGAGGCCCATCACCAAGTGGTTTCATTGAAAGTTTGCACAATGACCGGAATACAAGAAAGGCATCTTTCTGAAGGATATGGGAGAACTTGGCAGCTGTCTGAGGCCCAGGGACATCAGTTTCCTAAACATCAAAGCCACAGAAGAATTAGTTAGGATGGCTAAAGTTGACAGATGTTTGACTCTTTAATGATTATTATAATCTAACATTAAAAGGCAGAACAACTTTTTTGAGAGTAACCTTAAGCAAGAATGAACTTGTAACTCTGTGTGTGTGTGTGTGTGT